ACATATACATATACATACATATACATATACATTACATACTACATACATATACATATACACATATACATATACATACATATACACATATACATATATACAATATATATATACACATATACATACATATACACATATACATATACATACATATACACATATACATATACATACATATACACATATACATATATACATATACATATATATATATACACACACACGTTCAATCATCTTAAACAGCATAAATTTCTATACAGAAAAACGGTTTCATACCCGTGTCACTGGCACTGAGTAGAGACAGTGCCCTCTGCTGCCGGATAAAGTTATATGCCTTCAACAAGCTCTCAGCTGTCAGAGAACAATTAGGACATATTATTAACATTACCATATGTGAACAAGTGCTCAGTAGCTGTAGCTTTCATATGCATTCATATGACCAGTTCAGCAAAGAAGGCTATATATTTACCTGGCCAGCTTTTCATTTGACTGCTGCTCTCGGACACACAGCTCCTGTTCCCTTTCTGGGTGAGAAAAAAAAGAGAGAGAGAAAAAAGGTTAAACACAAGGTCTTGCCAATTAGCAGCATTTAAAGGGTTAGTTCACCTAAAATGATAATTTTGACATAATTTACTCAATGTCATGTCATTCCAAACCCATAAGACTTTCGTTTAACTTCTTAACACAAATGAAGATTATTTTTTAATGAAACCTGGAAAGATTTCTGTCCCATTGAAAGCCCATGCAACCAGAATTTGGTGAAATACACTGTAAAAGTAAACTATATAAATAGAGTGGTTTAATCAGTCTTCTGAAGAGACACTATCACTTGATTTAATAACAAAATTAATTTAGACTTTTCATAAAAGTTCATCAATGCACATACATAGAGCACATCAAATATGATAAACGGAAGCTCAGATGTACTTGCTTGACACACAAGAACCAATGAAGTTCGTTTTCGGATGTTAAGAAAGCATGGTTCACCACATATCTTCATTTGTGTTTCGAAGATTAACAAAAGCATTATGGGTTTTAGAATGATGACAACTGATGTTTTTGATTGAATTTTTGAAATGATCCCTATTTATTTGTAAAACCTTATTTTCATCTGGGGTTAAGTATCCCAATGTTTATCACCCGACCAACTGTGATTGGAGGCAGATGTTAGTTCCAGGTGTAAAGAGGCCTAATAAAACAGTAGACTTACGCTCTAGTCTCTGCTCTCGCTCTTTGAGGGCCTGTTCATGCTCGCGTAGAATCTGCTCCTTCAGCCGCAGCTCTGCTAGAAGCGACGGCTCTGGATGTTTTGGCTGCTCTACGTCTACTGATCTGCGCCGCTGCTTCTCCTGAAGCCTCTTCTGCTCCTGGGCTACATAGCCCGAGATCAAGCTGTTCTGCAGAATGGACTCCACCGAGGGCCTCAGATAGTCCTAACAAAACAGCCAGCCACAATGTGACCAAACAGCACACAAGGCAATGTGAATGGAAAAGCCTAATTGAGATTCTAACAATAACACAGGGCCTTTTATACAGAATGCATTTTTGTGTATAAAAACAAAACAAAGCAAAACAAAAAGAGCAGGGCAATCTAACAAGGTCTACGGACATGTTTTTTTTAGTATAAGTAGATTTTTTGTTTTTCTTGATCACCACATTTGTCCAGCACATTTTACATAGAATATCAATAGGAAAGCAGTGCAGTGGAACCTTGTTGAACTTTTTGTCAGGCTTGCTATATTCAATGTTCAATTCAAATCTTACAATTCTTCATTTTCATTACGCAGTCACACAACTGACCAACAGTGGCAATTCAGCAAGTGTTTAATCAGTTAACAGTGACACTTGGAATTCAAATTCACTTTGACCTTCTGACAAAAATGACTTTACCTTTAAGTTGAGCATTTTTGAAAGAACTGTGTTCAGATCATTAGAGTATCTGTATGGGATTCTTCTGAACTTCCCTTCTCTGATTTTTCCAGCCAGTTCTGTTTGATTGTATGCTGTAAATGGGGGACTTGAGAAAAAGAAAAAAAAAAGACTCAGGATTGAATACGAATATAACTAAGTTTCACTATTTTGTATAATCACACAACCAGCCTGTATGTAACTGAGGTGTAATCACAGTAAAAATAGAAGGACAATAACACATGTATACTTACGATAAAGCACATAGTTCATAAAGTAAACAACCCAAAGACCATATATCTGATTTTTCATTGTAGGACGTGCGGTTAATTTGTTCCTGTGAATACAAAAGGTGGAAAATATGAATAAAACGGGGAAAGCCAAGTCTTGGCAGTAAGAATATAATGATGAAACTATGGCACAAATAATTACTTATGCATGCCATGACAAGATCATTTAACAACAGTTTCTCTGCATTTTGAAACTTTAGATAGGTTGGACTCCTTCCAGTTCTTCAGGAGGGTTGGGTCAAAAAGCAGAATATGCCATCAGTGTATAATAACATCTGTCAGTAAATATGCACTTAAATGTATATTTTACCCAAAAATTTAAAATTCTTCTGCAGAACGAAAAAAAAAATAAAAAAAATAAATTATATATATATATATATATATATATATATACTCTTGTTTATTTTTATTTAACAGTTTTATATTTTTTATTGAATGGGTCAAAAACAATGGGAATGTGGTCTATAAAAACTCTAGTAGCGCTGCACAGTTTGGGGGGCAAATATACTTAAAAAAATATATAGATTTTTCTGGTAAAAATTGCAAATTATTTATAAAAATTATTATTGTATAAATCTCAATTTCAGAAAATTGACCCTTATGACTGGTTTTGTGGGCCAGGGTCACATATGTATCTTTACGTACCCCAAAATAGTCAAATGGTAATTAAAATGGTTTGTGTTCGCTTAGTATCTGCGTTGTTATACACTGTAAAAACTGATTTTTCAAAGTCAAATAAAGATTAATCGAGTACAACTTACAAGAAAATACTATTTCAGCCTTTCTACTTAATTTCATGTTTAATTCAATGTTGCTTGCTATGTCTTTTTAATTACTTGTGAAATTTACATGCAATTTCTGAGTGAAAATTGTTCAATGTTTAAAAAAAAAAAAAAAAAACCCAAGTCAGTGTAGAGGTTTGGAATGACATTAGGGTTAATAAATTAATTTTCAGCTATGGGCACCCATTTTCCCTCATCACAATCCCAGTGATCTCTATCTTCTCTCTTTTAAACACATTTAAAAGAAAGATGAAAGAACACTTACCGGCGACATGTAATATGGAGTTCCGACAAATGTTTTAGCAAAGCTTGTATCATGGTTCAGTATCCGAGCTAAACCAAAATCACCAAGTTTTACATTCTGCTTGACATCCAAAAAGATGTTTGCGGGTTTCAGGTCACTGTGCAGTACTGTACTGCTGCCGTTACTTCTACCATGGCACTCTTTTAAAGCCAGGGACAACTGTGCCATCACACGCAGGATGAATTCTTCTTTCAGGTATCGTCTGCAAAGACAATGTAAAAGAAACAAACATTGCAGGAAAACAGCTTAAACAACAAAATACCAGTAGCAGGGTTTCTGCAGGTTTTATGGAGGTAAATTTAAGACGTTAAGACCAAGTGAAGAAAATTTAAACTAATAAATTTATTGGAACACAGTATGTCAATGTGTTCTCTAAATGTGATTGAGTTGTATTTTTAAACTTCGAAGTGTTGCTAATACATCTTCATATCGATCTTCATTACTTTTTAATTTATTTAACAAAAATAGCTTGAGGCTTGAATAGCTCTGCTCCCAACTTCTAGAAATATGGAAATAACTTTTATGGTACCTTCTGATCACACTGCAAAAAAAGTGATATTCTTCTTCTTCTAGATATTCTATCGTCTTATTTTCCTCAGTTTTTATCTTATCAAGGCAAATGTCTAAATATTCTTAAATCCAGATACATTTACTTGAGAAGAAAAATGATATAAGCCTAGTTTTCTGTGAAAATGATCAAAATTGAGTTAATGAAAAGAACAAATATCTGCAAGTGGACTTAGGAAAAACGTCTTTAAACAAGTTTTCAATTCTCCATTCACAGATATTTGTTCTTATTTTAAAGGGGTCATATGATGCTTTTTTAAAGATCATTATTTTGTGTATTTGGTGTAACAGAATATGTTGACATGCTTTAATGTTCAAAAAACACATTATTTTTTCAAATACTGTACATTATTGTAGGTCCTCTATGCCCCGCCTCTCTCAAACACGTCATTTTCAACAAAGCCCCCTCCTTCCGACAAGCGCAGTCTGCTCTGATTGGCCAGCTGACCCAGTGCATTGTGATTGGCCGAACACCGCAAGCACTCGTCGGAAATGTAACGCCCCTTACCATAATCGCGAGCTTCATCTTTCAAAATAAATGTAAAGACAGTAATGTCATTAGTTTTACCATCAGTTCAAGCCTGAAAGGGGAACAGAGTCGCGTGACAGACAGTGATGAAGCTGGTATGTGTTTGCAGTACACAAGCCACGGTTAAGACAGCTACTGTGATGTGACCCTGTCTGTCTGTCTGGTCTGTCTCTCTCTCTCTCACACACACACACACACAGCAAAACTCCGCATTTGAACAGTCAATAGCAAATACTTAAACTAATAACAAAACATTAACTTTGATAAAGAATATCTCTTTGGTTTTGAGACTTTAGTCTTTGCAACTTCAGGGATCTTATCTATGCACAATCAGCTTGTAACACTCCAAAGAGAAAGGAAAACTTGAAATCGCATCATATGACCCCTTTAAACAAACTCACTTTTAATTTCTCAAAACACAAGACATTCATTTTGCACCTCAAATGCATCTTGATTTAGGAATGTTTAGATATTTGTATTAGAAAACAAGACATAAATGCTGAGGAAGATATTAATTTTAAAGGGGTCCTATTATGCTCTTTTACTAAGTCTTGAAACACCTCTCTCCCCAGTCTGGCATGAACGTTATGCGCTCTCAACATTGTCATTAAGATCACACTATAGAAACCACCTAAAATTAGAAATTTACTAAAAACAAGCCTATGGCAAGACATCGGGTGGGGGGGGGCACCTGGGGTGGCCAGCCAAATTTCAGGGGGGGGCCGGTGACACCCCTGGCCACCACGTAGACACGCCCCTGTTGAAGAGCACTTTCAGCTTTGTAACTTTACAGATCTTTTTTTATGCTCAAACAGCAACATTACAGACTAACTAAAGTTGAAAAAGTTAAAAAGCATAATAGGACCCCTTTAAGCAAAGCATGCAACATTTAATACCACTACTTTACCATTTGACCACTTTCTGCTCTGACTTAAGACCTTTTCAAGGCCTTTATTTGTGAAAGGGTGAGTTAAGACTTTAAGACCTGTAGAAGCCCTGAACAGCTTAATTTGATCTGTCTTTGATGCATCTGTTGATGAGACTGGCGAGATCTCCACCCTCACAGTACTCCATCACTATATATAATGTCGTGTTCGTCTTATCTATAATTCTGTCGTAGTATCGGACGATATTTGGGTGCTTCAGCTCACGGAGCAAATTGACCTCCGACACCAGCATCTGTTTCTCTGCCTCAGCCGTGGAGCCATAGTCCAGCACTTTCCAAACCAGAATCTAAGGAGATCAGATGACATGGTCCAAATTAACCAGCTGGAGGAGACACCAATAACTACAGTGGCATAATTCACAGTACCCTAAATTATTTAAACTTCACTTAACTATGAATGTTATTGCACTAGAACACAAAATGGCACAGCAAACAGCATCTAAAAACAAATGCTACACTTTGTACTATGTAATATAAACGGATATGTTGTTATCAAATAAGGACATTAAAAAAAAGGGTTACTTAAATATTTTTTCATTTTCTGATATTGATTTAGGCTCCTAATATAAAAGTACATTACAACAATACCATACTGTTCATGTACACAGAGTTCAGTCTGTATTTTATTGACCTTTCCATCTGATTTTCTGGCATTTCCCATAAGATCCACATGCTATGGTGAGCATCACCTCAGTCTTCAGCTGTGGATGGCATCATGCACACAGCAGGTCCAGACCTCAGACTAACACAACAGAGCGCGATTATTCATCATGTGCAAACTCAACACGATTCATTCATTCAGTTCACTTACCGTAACACAGTCACTTCTCGTCCTTTGTGCTTAACTTCCTGTGTCTTGTATTGTTTTGTATGCGTTTTAGTTTTAAAAACGTTACAGTCTTTTGTTTGTGTTGAGAAACAAACTGACGAGAAACAAGCAAGCAAGCCGATTTTCAAACGTGCGCACAAACGCTGGATTCTGATTGGCTGGACTCGATCGTTGACGGTGATCTCATTGGTCCGTACGAGGACACAGCGTGCACGTTGCCAAGCGCTGAAGAACCGCGAGAACAGCGGGAACAGTATTTCTTAAAGGGACAGCGCGAGAGCTTTAAAACGGAACTGTAAACACTAAACTTGATGTAAACATCTCATTTGTTAGTCGCTTTCGATAAAAGCGTCTGCTAAATGACTAAATGTAAATGTAAACATTTTAAATTTAAATCATAAGTTAGAATTTCTCCAACCCTCTCCATTTACTTTGTATTGTGGGAAGCTGCCTCCTTGTCATTTCTGACTTATAACAACAACAACAAAAAAACCCGGAACAATGCCTAAAAGCTGCTGTGACAAGGTGTACAGCAAACAACCTACAGTAATGCACACATCTATGTCTTGTAAAGTGAAAATCCTTCCTGTAGCTCAGTGGTAGAGCATTGCGTTAGCAGCGCAAAAGGTCGTGGGTTCAATTCCCAGGGAACACACATACTGGTCAAAAATTTATCCACCGTTTTCTTGTCGTAAAAATGGCCATTTGTAAATTCTATGGGTCTGGCTTCCGGTCTCATCTGCGTCCAGCTATTCTGAGCTGAACAAAACAGTTTGTTTTGCTGCTTGATATTGAAAGTTGGTGTGTCTTATATTATTTTAATGTATTATCTTAATTATGAACACACTGGTTTGTAGTGCAAACAGAGTTACCGTTTACTGCACGTTATTCTCCTCGTTATTTCCCTATAGCGGCTAATGAACCGGAAGTCTCACCCATAGGCTTACTTCCGCGTTGAAGAAAAAGGTGGATAGCCAACATAAATTGGCTTGCATAAATGGGTCAAAATTATCAATTTTTCTTTTATGCCAAAAATCATTAGGATATTAAGTAAAGATCATGCTCCATGAAGATATTTTGTAAATTTCCTACCGTAAATATATCCAAACTTAATTCTGAAATTTCCTATAGTAAATATATCAAAACTTAATTCTGATTAGTTATATGCATTGTACACTGTAAATTGACTGTTTGTCCGCTTGGTGGCAGCAGTGTGTTTATCGTGCCCAACGGGTCTGGGTGTGGCAGGGCCAAAGTTCACCTAAAGCCCTTTCCCGTTTCCTCTAGAAGCCTTTACAGGATATGAGCTTTGCACATATAGCCAGAAAGACAGGAGATAACTTCATTTCATTGGGAAAGATGCATTATTTGAGCTAAATTCAATTATGAGGAATAGGTGGGTAGTTCATGAGCATCTACGTGCTTCAAATGTTCTTACTTGTAAAGGCCACATAAGAGAAAGGACAGAATGGCCATCTGGAAATATTAAATCCATTTTTGCTCCACGACATGACCCCTCAAAATGTAATCCTTTGTCTTTGGAAATGAGCTATTATTTTCTTCTTCCATCTTAATTTCCCATGTTATATTTTCAAGCGTCTTGCTATAAAGTATTTAAAAAGGCATTAATACCATCATTCGAAAGCTAAAGATTTGTGGAGAAGAAGAAGAAAACAATCACTGTAGTCAGTCAGGACCACTTTTAAACATTCAGAAGTATGTGTGTACTGATCTGATATAGGTTAGCATTTGTTTCTGAGGGCTTCCAAGGACACCATTTCTAGCAAAGAAAGAAAAGGACAACATACACAGGCATATGTTTAAATATCAAAATTGATCTAAAGCATGATCCAAATTTGACTGTGAATGGTTCATTGGTGCATGTTAATCCAGAGAACAAACACTGCGATTCACATCGACTTTAAACGCCTGATCAGAATGATTCCGATGACCAATAACACTCAGAGAAGAGCCTGTGGGTCACTGCTGCGCATGATTTTTATTCCAGCACAATTAATTTGTGTGTTGTAAAATGGCTGGGTAGCTAGGAAAAGAAACAGGAGTACAAAATGAAAATTATGGACCATTCTATTGTAATTTGGTTAAATTGCTAATATATAGAGATATCTCACACTTGTTTTAAAAACATAAAACCATACTTAGGAAAACAATGTTACGTCTCAATCTGACAGACAGCGAGAACGAGACAAGGAACCCGGCGTCTGAGATCCTCGCGGTGAAGCTCCCGGTGACGTAGCCTGCTCTGAATGCAGTCCGCATCTAACTTGGCTTTAGTCTTCTGGCGTCATTCACATTTCAATCTGGCAAGCTATAGAAACAAAGTTCACTTTCACAGATGACATGGCTTCGGTTAAGGGGGGAAATGACAATGTTTTCACCTACAAATGTCCAATTTGTACATCTAAGCATCGTTTCTTTAGAACGCCACAACATGGGCGTTTATTTTCGAGTACATTATTGCTGGACCTCGCCCATATATTCCCTTCCTACACGATGAGAACACATAGACGGACTCGGACACCGATTCTTCCCCACCGACAACACACACAAACAGTTCCAATTTCACACATGAAAAACGCAATTTTGTCTCGAGCTCGAGGAGAATGTTTCCATTTTCCTCAAGATAGTCTCAAATATTTTGTACCTCGGCACAAAATCGAATCTACGCCTCTGATCCCTTCCGCGTGGCAGCAGTTTTAAGACTGTTTCTTTTGACGAACAGAAATGCGCCCACGCGATCGCCGCAGAAGACAGCAAACGGCAGACGAGGTTATGCTCAGATACTGAGAGAAACGTAAGCACCTGCCGGAACAGAAGCTCCTTACTTGCTTCCTCTCCATCTTTCTTAAACATTCATGATATTTCAGAAGTAAAAACGTCGAGAGCGACCGTAGCTCGGACTCCTTTCTGTACAAGATTAACCACAGAATGAGGAAAGAGAACGTAAAATCTCAACTATTAAACAGATATTTGCCAACACTCTGAAATAACATGAAGCTACCAGACATTATGTACGTCTAAAAAAAAAAAATAGAAAAAAAGCAACGGGCAGTCGCACACAATCACACAGGCAGGTTATGCTGTCACATTTACAGAAATGAGACCAGTTTGAGACTCAAAAATCAACAAATTAAAATCTTTTTAGGACAATGAACAAACACAAAAGTTCAGTCAGTAGAATGTCCCGCCCCCTTTTGACCCGAAGATAAGCATATGGCTTAATATTTGCAAAACTTTGGAAGTGAGGGGTGTTCGTCCTATCGAATCGGTCGTGTGGCAGTCATGTGGTGCACTTGGATGTGTCTGTATGGCATTGATTGTGTAAAGTTCTCTCCTTGTTTTAAAACAAGAACCAGGTTCGTCTTGGAAACCCCGCCCCTCCCCTCCACACACGTCATCAAAACCAAATCCCCCTTCAGTCAGTGTAAACATCTCTCAATACTGACAATACACACAGAAAACAGCATCCAGTCAACGCGAGACGAAACAGCCACGAGGAAGAAATGACATGAGGGCAGCACACAACCGAGGGTCTTCCGTTGGGGGGCGACAAGGATTCATAGTGCAATGAAGGCCAGAGGAGTCTCTTCCAAAGAGGACAGCGGTCTCTGAAAAAAATTTCAGTCATCCTGTTTGGGAGTTAACGATAAAAAAAGGGGGGGTGGGGGGAGCTCACGTGGCAGGACGTGACAGATCTATCTCTGGCTTATTCCTGAGCCTAATTTTGATTGTAAGTAAAAAACAAAGTTAAACAAAAAAAAAAAACGCATGAGTAAACATTTAGATGTGCATAATCTTCTCTCTGCATGTGAGCGCGCATGTGTAAACATGTTGAACTGGTTCTACGCAAATCTAAAGGATAAACGCATGTCTGCACGGGCAGCTGGGATTGGGTGGATGTGTCTGGACCGCGATCGGATACAGCAACTGGAGTCGTCCTGCGGGGTACATTCAACCATCCGGCAGAGGAGAATGGCAATCAGGGCTCTTGGTCTCTGGCATTCCCTCCTCCATCCTGCACGTTACGCTCTCCTCAGAGCGGTCAGAAGAACCAGCAGTAGATGTGATGTAGAATGCTGTACCACATGTAGCCTGAGGCGAAGGCGAACGTTTGGACGAAAAACAGCCAAACGCTGTCAAGGGTCATGTTTCGGGAGACCACCTCTTTTTGGCCTTCTAGTGGAGGGAATGCTCCTGCGAGATGAAGGAAAGATGGAGACTTGTCAGCAAGTTTGGTTCTAGTTGGAGGATGAACATGTACAAATCAATAGATTGGGGAAACTAGATCTCTAGTAATTCGATCGTTATTTAAACTACCTGTCTTGTAGAAGTGAGCCAGAAGTTTCTCCTTTTCCACAAATCGCTGATATAGCCAGTCTGCCAGCGCTTCTGATTCTACTGGGACGTCCTTTATGGGGTATGTCCTAAAAATATAACAAATAAGAATGTGTTATACAGAACTGAGAAACATTCAAAAGCAAAATGATAAAACTATACTGACCATTGGTCAATACAGCATTCTAGAGACTAAAGTAATTTGTTTCCAAGATTAATAATAATCATAATTATCACATTTATAAAACTTAAATGAGAATAAAATATATTAAAAGCAGCAGCAGTACTACTACTACTACTAAGAATAATCAATCAAATATCAATATTGTTTTATTACAATTCTACATTTGCAATTATTATAAACAATAATAACTGCATATTAATGTTGTATGAGAATACAATTTAGACTGCATTATAATGTATTTACAAAAATAAAATACTACTTTAAATGTAGAATGTAGTAACATAGATTGATTATAATAGTCCATTCATTTGCTATTATTAATTAATATAAATTTAGACTACATTTTAATATATATAGACACAAAACTAAAAAAATAATAAATATGACAAATATAAATAGTAAATCAAATTAATTGTTAATTAACTGTTAATTAAATACTAATATTATTAAATGTAATAGTGAGCAATAATAATAATAATAATATTTAACAACATAGATTCTGTTTACTGTATACACAGTACTGAATATATTTTAACCATTAATTCACAGTTTCTGTACATTTGGATAAACATTCTGTTAATAAAAGTAATTATCCTGTTGTTGTTAACAACAACAACAACAACAACAACAACAGCAACAACAACAATATTATTATTATAAACAGTTTAGACATGTTGAGCGAATGTTGCCCTCCTGACCCAATACTGTCCTGTTCTTTCATTTAGGAAAAAAAAAAAAAAAGCCAAATTGATAGGTTGGGAGTAAAGTTAGCATGTTAAACACACTGAGACAGAGGGGCTGATTAAATGAGAACAGTATAAAAAGCATAAAACAGCATAAAAGGTAATTTAGGGAGGCAATGAAGACAGCTTGAAGGAGAAAATCTAACAGGCACTGAAAAAACAGATGAGCATGGATCACAAATGATCCCGATTCTCAGTCTTCATCAGATCTCCCACAGTTAGCATGGTGAAGTGGAGAGCTCAGCTCTTTAGGCTTTGAGCCGCGAGCAGCGTGACAGATTCAGCGTTTGTGCTGATGAGACGCTTCATCTGATGACAGCAGTTTTCTGCTCAAACACTGGCCGAGCTCTGCACAGACAGCTGAGACGTACAAACACACGACTGACTGCAAACGTGTCTTACGAAAACAAACAGTACAGAGAGGATGTGATTGGGCACAATATTACAACATCGTGAAACTAGAGTTTCCTGACTGATCCAGCTTCTGCTTTTCCCTTTGTTTAAGAAACAGTCGACTTCCCTCAATTACTGTACTAGTAATTTTTTAACCAAGTTCAATACAGTAGATTCACATTAGGCTATGATAGTGCATCACTACTGAGAGACTGTAAATTGCTACTGCATTTTTTTTTTACTGTTTCCTTAACTAACAACCTTCCTTGGGTACAATTTTTTTTTTCAAAAACTTACATTAATACATTTACATAAGCAGAATCCTGCTTATCAAAAGGATATTAGATTAGGTTGAAATGAGCTGATGTGAGAATAAAGACTGATATGTAAAAACTACTACAAATATGTTGTTAATCGAAAGTGAAGTATATATCTATAATCAAAAATACAGTAAAAAATGCAGTAAAACAGCAATATTGTAAAATATTATTACAATAAAAACTCCTATTTGGATATATTTTAAAATGAAATTTATTTCTGTGATGAAATTTTTTATTTCTGTATTTTCAGCATCATTACTCCAGTCTTCAGTGTCACATGATCTTTCAGAAATCATTTTAATATGCTGATTTGATGCTCAAGACACATTTTTGATAATGAATATTCAAGGTTATTGTTAATATTGCTGCTTATTATCGTGTACACCTTTTTAAGGTTATTTGATGAATAGAAAGTTCAAAAGAACAGCATTTTTTTTTAAAGGGGTCATATGATGCTGCTAAACCAAACAAAGTAGTTTCGCTTTCACAACGAAACACACAGCGTCTTCACGACATGGCGGCGGCGGCAACAATACAGCGAGAATAAAAGTTATGCCTTCTTTCTTTGTGTTAACATTTGGGCGCCGTTATGCAAATCTTCCCACATCGTGACGTAGACATGTGGGGGCGTGTTAGAACGAGCCATTTTAGGTAGGCGTGGTTGACTCTTAACTTTTATAAAGAATATCTCTTTGGATTTGAGACTTTAGTCTTTGCAACTTTACAGATCTTCTTTATGCACCAAGAGCTTGTAACACTCCAAAGAGAAAGGAAAAATTGAAATCGCATCATATGACCCCTTTAAAAAAATGGGGGAAATTAATGCAAAACCCCTATTGACCATGTATGGACATTTAGTGTATAATCTTTCCCGTCATATATTACTTAAAGAGAACTCTATGTATTACTATTATTATTATTATTATGACTACTTTCTAAATCTCTGGTACCACCAAAGCTGTTCACTCTTTAATTTACATCCATCCATCCATACTGTACATCTATAGCTCACTTTCCATCTACCACACACAAATCAATAGGTGTGGAGTAATAAGGCCCTCGGGGACAAATTCCAGAAAATGCCTGGCAATAACATGAGATAAGAGCCCTGGGAACAGAAGTCACCAGAACCATCTATAGGACAGATCTGTGCATCAGATCAGACTAGGAGGACATACAGCTCCATAAAGATCAGCACCGCACACGTTTGTCATGTCACGTTACTGATGTATCCCACAAGCTTTCGTAATGCTATGTTTGAAGGTTTTACAAACTCTTTCTTTTTGTTCAAAACTCAGGATGATTTTAAAATTGTGAGAACTGCAAAAGTCTTGTCAGAATAGACTGAAAAAAAACAAAAAAAAAAAACGTAATGTTTTGCACTGTATGCCATCACAAAAATGTTTATGAATACTCAGCTTTCATTTGAGCTATATAATTTTCAGTTGTGAAAGTGAAAGTGACGTGACATGTGGCCAAGTATGGTGATACTCGGAATTAGTGCTCTGCATTTATCCCATCCAAAGTGCACACACACAGCAGTGCCCGGAGCAGTGGGCAGCCATTTTTTTTTACTGCGGCGCCCGGGGAGCAGTTGGGGGTTCGATGCTCAAGGGCACCTCAGTTGTGGTATTGAAGGTGGGAGAGAGTGCTGTACATTCACTCCCCCCACCTACAATCCCTGCCGGTATGAGACTCGAACCCGCAACCTTTGGGTTACAAGTCCGACTCTCTAACCATTAGGCCACGACTTCCCCCTTTTTTTTCTTTTTTGTTTATTACAAATGAAATAAAATTAAGCCTTTTTTCCTGGTGAAGCAGGTGAAAATTATTGAAATTATTGTAATTGAACACAAACATAGACATGTTATTCGGTATAGGCTACTAAGGTACCTAGCATAAAAATCCTTCTGACACAGATAAAACAAGGACTTAACCGATATTTCCAAGATAGTTCATGTAATCGTAAACTGTGACATTAATGTGCTGAGGATTGCGATACGTTCCCTAGAGGCTCCGTAAGTCTTGCTTGAAATGAAGCATTTCCACCAAACCAATAAAACCTCTCTGTATCTCAAGAGATGTGTTTCAGGGGAATTTCAGTGACCTGGTAGACTCTGTATCCACAGAGCTAAACTCTACATTCTGCTTTGTTTCCAGAGCAATGTCAGTGAAATAGTCTGTACTTCTGGACAGGTATACATTTATTCATCCATGTCAACTATTGTTGGTACTACTTGTTGAACTACTTGTTTAAGGGTTGGTTCTATTTATTTGACTGTGGTTAGGATTCCCTTTAATTTTGCAAAGTAACTAAGGGGGTATGGTGTGTTGGGTTTGCATTGTGTAGCTTATCCGAAAGTCCACACCTTATTCCATGCCAAACGAGGCACCAAAAATAAAGCTTCTTCCATGAAGAACATTTAAAGGGATAGTTCACCCAAAAATGAAAATTTGCTGTTTATCTGCTTACCCCCAGGGCATCCTAGATGTAGGTGACTTTGTTTCTTCAGTAGAACACAAACAAAGATTTTTAACACAAACCGTTGCAGTCTGTCAGTCTTATAATGGAAGTGAATGGGAATCACGACTTTGAGAGTCAAAAAAACATACACAAACAAAACCAAATTAAACCCTGCGGCTCGTGACGATACAATAGGGCCTTTCGCACCGCTTTAGTTCCAGAACTAAATGGACAGTACTAAAGTACTGGGACGATTTCGCGCGAACTATTTCCCAGTACCATTTAAAGGGTTGCATTCGCACCGACAGTGTGCACTAGGAACCAGTCGACAGCGACGTCATTTGTGCGCGGCGTTTAACAACGGAAACAAAAAAAATGCCAAAAAGTGGGTAGTTCCACAATTAGTTCTGGTACTATGAAAAGGTTCCTGCGGTGCGAAAGGCCCTATTGATGTGTAAAGGCACGAAACGATTGGTCTGTGCAAGAAACTGAACAGTATTTATATTGTTCTTTACCTCTGATTCACAGCAATGTCCAAACTGTTCTGAGCGCGTTCGCGTCTTCTTCTTCAGCCGGCGCGTGACGTGTCGTCGTCGTCTTCTTCAAATGGACCATTGACACTCTATCTACAATCTCAATTAGGAGTGTCAATGGTCCATTTGAGAGATAGGTGGCGGTAATACACTTATAAGTCTGCGATCTGCCGTAAAGCAAGAAGAAGAAGAAGACGCGTCACGCGCCTGCTGTTGAGAACGTGCTCAGGACAGTTCAAACAGTTCGGACATTTCGTGAATCAGAGGTAAAAAACATAGTAGCATATAAATACTGTTCAGTTTCTTGCACAGACCGATCGTTTTGTGTCTTTACACATCAATGTATCGTCACGAGCCACAGGGTTTAATTTGGTTTTGTTTGTGTATGTGTTTTTTGACTCTCAAAGCCGTGATTCTCATTCACTTCCATTATATGACTGACAGACTGCAAC